AGCGAACCTTTTAATTAAGCCCCGGAGTTTGTAGAAGCTACTTAAATCTAGCGAAATCTAAACAAAAAAATATACGAGAAGATGAATTTGTGCCAAAAATAAAAAAAACCGAAATAGTAGTAACAACAAGCAGGCGAAGCAGCAGGAGAACAATAGTAGATACCGAGTTCAACTGGCCAAAAAGCACAAGAACAACAATGGGAAGCCACCAGCCACCACAAACGAGAACACAAAGTAAATTCTTTGCTTTTTTTGGGGGAACAACACATAGGAATTATACGAATTTCAATGGATTCACAGTCGTCAGACAGCTACTCCTCTCACACAAGTATTTAATGTTCACATTTGCTCAAGGCAAAGCACTTAAAGGAGCTTATTTAATGAAAAACAAAAACCAAGAGAACAAAAACAAAAACAAAAACCAAAACCAAATACAAAAGTCGATACTAAACCATATAGATGTGTGTGTAATCATTTCCACATAAATAATATACAATCTGGCTGTATTCGCAGTTTAATTGCTAGAAGAAGGTGCCAAAGATCCCAGATGAACCAAAGCTAAAGCTATAAGGCCTGCATATTCGACGGCAGTACACCCCCCCATTGGTTTCGTTGCATACATTTAGGCGGAATCTTTGAGGCATTCGAGACTTGCGTTGCACCTTCGGTTAGCCCCCGAGATTATGTTGCAAGAACATGCAAGGCGGCAAGGCTCCTTAAATTAATTACCAATTAATCGACAAAAGAGAAACACTAAAAATGAAATGTAAACAAAGGCGAACGCTAACTAAACATATTTACAAGTTGAAGAAAACTGCAAGGCAATCATATAACTAGAGCTTCAATAAATAACAAAACAAAGGACAAGGGTCATAAGCGTGGAAAGGGTGGAATTATGGCTATAAAACCAGTTGAAAATGCCTAGAACGTGTTTTTGGATAAATATATATTTAAGCCATATTCACAACTGGATGAAAAACCAAAAGAAAACAAAACTATTTGCGTTATTATTGTGGTTAAAGCAAGGCAAAGGGAAAGGAAGGCGGGAGTTAATAATGAACAAAACCAAAAGTTAGTGCCAATTTTTAGTGCAAATTTTTGCGTAATTGTTTTAATTTCAACGTTATTAAAACTACACAAAAGTAAACAAAAATAAAGAAAACAAAAGAACAAGAAACAAAAATAATATTAAATAAATAAACAAACAGTTGGTTTCAGAACCACCAATTTTTGGGAGACTTTCAAAGGGACGGACAGGAGGAAAGCGTAGCACTCAGCACCGCCTAGTTTTCGATGTGAACCAAAGTGTGTAGTGTAGTGTAGAGGCTAAACTAACCCACGTACATAACACACATGTAGCTTTCGGCTCCAGATGCATTCGACACCCTTATTTCGCACTCCACAATCAATAGTTATCGGGACAGGAAAACGGATATGGGAACCAGGAGGCGCTTGGAAATGGGGGCAGCACTGAGAACAGGTCCTTGCCACACACATAAAACACACACTCACACTTGCAAAAGCGAATGATAAATAATAAAAAAGTAAAGTTAAGCCATAAGTGAAATTAAATATTGTTTATCTGTGTACAACAATAATATTTAAATAATTCTTAAATGTGTATTATGACTCTAAACAGAAAACTCACTGACTACATCATATGTATAAGGGAGAGTCTCGAAGGATCTCTGATCCGAGAGACGGGCAGCCCCTGTAGACGACACTTAGACATTGAACATTAGAGAAACCAACACACACTCACAAACAACAACTTAATCGCAATAAGAGCATACAGTATACAGTATACAGATACAGATACAGATAAAGATACAATAAGAATTCTTAAATAATGGCAAAATGTACAAGAGGACAAACGGTAAACACGAGTTGAAATGACAAAGATAAAAACAAGACAAAACAAAACCCAAATGATGAAAGTAATGAAAGAAAAAACTCGAAAAGCAAACATTATTTACAACATATTTACAATTCTATAAATTATATTTAAAAGTATTTACATATATATGGGGGGGCATTGGGTGTGTAGCGGTGTGTGCGACCCGACATAGAGTGCAAAGGAACCCCCAACCACACACATCACGCATACGTAGCCATTGGAACAGGACACCCACACTCACACACACAGAACATACTATATATGTGCAATACAACACACACTCACACGCAAAGTTAAGTGCATTATAATTGAATTTATAGAGTTAAACGAAGCTATTAAGTGACATTATTTAACTGATTAACTGATTAACTGATCACGATTATTATTAACGATGCATACGCATTTACTCACAACTCATATACACACCTATATATAAATATATATATATATATACATATATATAGAATATACATGGCATATATCGCTGGAAAATATTTTCGTTGATCAAAACAAACCATATAGGCAAGTAAATTAAGTTATCATAAATAGACCACACATCATATCAGACACAATGGAAATCACTGCAAGTTTACCCAAAAACCAACAACAACAACAACATCAACAATTGTATGAAGTCAAAAAAAGATCAAGATTTTTGAAAGCTACATAAATGTGTTGCGTTCTTTGAATAAATGTTTTTGAGTCGAATTTTTACTTCAAAAACTGAAACAACATTGAAAAAGTCTCAAAAAAAATAAAGAATAAAATAAAAAGAAAAATAAATAAAATTAATAGCAAGCAAAAGACACACCTAAGCATAAGAGCGTTAAGCGGGATACATTCTTACAGAGTATCTGTGTGAAATCGTGGCAATGTTGCAAGAAAGTTGATAATGAAAATGTACCACTTGAAGTAAGGGAGAAATCAAGATAAGAAAGAAAAGAAAAAAAAAAAACCAAAACAAGAATTTAACACAATTTTTGAATTCATTAAATAAAGGTATGTGTTTAGATATATTCAAAACAAACCCCCGCTTGTGGTTTTATTTTACGATTCGGGCGTTTGTAGCCTCATTAAAAAGCGCTTTATATATAAATATATATATAAAAAGCGGGTTTTTTTTTCAGGGGGCTTAAAGCTTAATAATAAAACAGATGCTCATACGACACGTTTCCCAATTTTTGCGATTTAAAAAGTCAATGCAAACTGGCGAATGGCCAAAGGCCAACTAGCCTCAACAATGGATGGCCAAAAGACCGCCAAACTTCATTCATAAAAACAAAACTTATTAGCAGCATACAAAAATAAACAATTTTATTTTATATGCCTATGCTCTTTTTCTCTCTTTTATAAACAATTTGGCGACGAGCGGCCAGAGAAAACAGAGAGGTATGAGAGAGAATTTTAATAGCAGTACAATTTTGGTCTCACGTCATTCGCCGATTTGTTTGGCGGAACCTGAGTGAAACAAAAACGGCATTTAATCGCATTTTGACAGCTTAGCACCTGACTAGGCATATGGATTTCTGGCGTTACTAGTCTAGGCTGGACACGTTCTGAAACGAACCCTGTAATTATCTCACGGAAACCCAATTCTGTACTTTTTAAGTGCTTTTTTGCATAACAATTAAATCTGAAAATTGCCTTAAGCAAATTAACTACAGTATCATTTCGAGAAAGGCTATTTTTATAGCATTTTTAGATTTATTAAAAATTATAATAATTTATAATCAAAATATTCAACATAATTAATATTGCCTTTATAAGTTTTTATCAATAACTTTGGGTTTATTTTCTTTGATTAAAAGGAAATATGTTATATGGATTAAAAAATAATATGATTAGTATTGTATCTGTTTAATTTACCCCGAAATTATATAAAAGCTTGAATGTATTAATGGCAACAGGTCGTATGAGTAATATACAATACTGGTAAGGACTGAAAATTGCGTATACGACCTGTTGTCCTTTAAATGTAGTCATCTCAAAATATTCTTTATTTTAATTATTTTTTTTTTTTTAAATTTTGAATTTTAGCTATTTCATAATGAATAAGTATATGCTCTTAACTCCTAAAATATGTATATAAAGGCACTACTTATGATAATAAATCTAATAAAATAATACAAATTTCCCCAGGAAAAAAATCGTCAAGAGAATGTGTACTGTACATCGTTTCAGTTGGAGCTCATACCAGTTCAGTCCCATTTATATTCTATATTCTTATTAACTGTTTTAATAAACAAAATAGCCCACTTGATGAAAATAATTACATAAACGTAAAACTACTTAACCCTGGTCATGATCATGACTAAACTATGTATCACCCTATATATATCATTCTTTTATAAATGTTTATTCTGCCAGTGCGTTCGCCTAATGGTTTGGCTGTTGGCCAAATCGGTAAAAGAAATGAAATATAAATTATGGAACTATCACGTTTGCGGCACGTGACCCTTGAAAGTGGCCAATATTGTTGGCACAGTCACTGCACCGATGATGGATTTTTAAAGGCAGTAAATCAACACCAAAACATTGGAAAAACTAAGATTTATATAGCCTTTGTTACATAAGTTTTATTATTATGCGGGGAGCATAACCTTGCCGCCATAAAATACTTTAATGGCACTATTATTGTTAGATATTTCTTGTATGTGGCTAAAAAAAAAGCCATAAAATTTGATTTCCACATTTGATAGGTATTTTGGGAAATGTATGACGGCATTTTTATATATAGTTTTCCACTTTATTAGTGTAAACCAACATTTTCTTACAATATTATTTAAATAATGAAAAAAAACTTTATTCTTTGCATACTTTTGGATACCTTATTAATTAATTGTTGAACCTTTTTGGCCCTTTTAGATAGGGATGATACCCCTCCTTATCTCGTGCACAGACAATGGATGAGGAGACCCCTTTGGACTTTGCCTACCCATCACCCTACACAAGACCAACCTGCGATCCACTTTCATCGCAGCCAATCCAGCTGCGACACACACGAACCGAAGCCATAATCTCGGCAAAGCCTAGCCAGAACTCGGAACCCCTCGGTAGAAATGGAAGCCTGCAGCGCTCAACAGTTGGTCGGACGGTTCGAGCTTCCTCACTCGCCGACCGGCTGCGATCACGACCGCTCGTTATTTGCTCGCGGAGATCGCAGTAGGCTGTTGGCAGTTCGGGCCGCGTTTCTGTGCCGCTCACATCGCAAAAGTGCTCGGCGTCGTGGGTAAAAATAAATATATAGATTTCGTAAATGAAAATAACGCGGCGCGAGTGCAGAAATAAACCGAAAACGTGTGCGTTAATCGAAGGCAGTGGTGATTAGGAAATGGCGGCCAGCGAAGCGCCACCCGCAGAGGCGACGGTGGAGGTGGAGTTGCCTTCACAGCCACCACCACCGCCGTCAAAGGATCCAGAGGATGTCACCCTGGACGCTATACTAAAGCATTTGGGTCAGTTTGGACGCTTCCAGCTGATCATCTTCTTGCTGATCTGCCTGCCTATGATGTTCCATGCCATGTTCTCGGTCACCTACGTCTTCACCGCCTCCACCGTGACGCATCGCTGCGACATTGAAGAGTGCGACACGCCGGATAGCAAATTCTACGAGCCGCACATCGAGTGGAGTATCCCCAAGAATGGCAATGACCCCTGCAATCGCTACACTAACCGAGATCTACCCCTGTGGAACGGGACGGACGATATTTGCCTGGCCGAGCATTACACGGCTGAAACGGAAGCCTGTCCCGGCAATAAATTCATATTCCGTGATAACGAAGTGACCATTTCGAATGACGTGAGTATCAAAGTGCCACCACATTGGGGGTGCTGCTATCAGGTAGCAGCAACAACGATCACCGCATGCCAGACTCTCTCGGAGCAGACATGGACTTTGATAATAAGTCAGCCGATTGCGGCACATGCTGCTGCCTGGACCAGTTGTGCATGGGGGAAAACAATCGAATAAATTGGTCATCAATCCATCGTTAGTTCAAATCTTATCTGCAGACTATCGAAAAAATATCAGACATTGATTAGAGGCCTGAATGCAGACCAGATAGGAGGTTGAGACTTAAAGTAAACAATAGAGTTAATCGGTCGGTTGGGGTTTTTTTTTAAGCCTTCCCAGATTAACTATTATTTCTATAATTTGAATTTCATAGTTTAAGTGTTTCGAATCAAAGGAATGTGAAAAACTTACACCAGCTTATACAGTTCATAAATATTTATGGGTACTTGGAATAACCAAGATAGCCAGATAGCTCACTGTGAGGTAATCGAAAGGGATCGAACCCTGGCACCCCCCCAGAACTGTAGACAAACACTCCACCACGGGTTCAATGACTAAATTGTACCTTTAATAATTTACTGATAACCGCAAAGTCGAGTAGTTTACAATCACAATCAGACGGGGCCCGAAATCGGGTTAACGCATTTCAGAGAGGATAGAATTGCACTGAGTGGCGACCTTAAAAGTCTTAAAACCATAAAGTTAAGCCAAGTGGGCCAGCTGAACCAACAAAAAGACTATTGTGAAGGTCCAAAGGTAAACATTACTCGTAATATTTAGTTAGCAATTGAGGGGATAATGGAGGAATTTTACCACTCGCAAGGTAAACAAATTTACTTTTCGCGGCCACATCCGAGATGATGGCCCAACCTTTGAGAATATGCTTATTGCGCCCTACGATTATAATGTCGGAAGCTGCTACCGCTGCCTCCTAAGTGGCCTGATGAGCTCGGGGAAAACATTCTTTATCAGACAATTGGACACATACTTGGGACGCGACTAACTGGCGGATAAGTGCCCCCCAGAAGCCAGACAAGCTGGCAGGGCAATTGCAACATAGACAAACGAATTGAGATTAAGATATTCCTGAACAAATGAGGTTACAATTTACGTTAATGGTTGAGGGAAAAAAATTTCCATCCAATCTTTTTATAGCTTGGCATTTTTTGCGATATTGAATGAGCGATTCATGAATAAGGGAGGCACTCATTGTTATTTATGGTCAAAGGGAAGAGAAAAGGAGAACAGCAAAATGAGATTTTTTATATTACGATTGTAAATAAAAGAAAGTATATATTTTGAAAAAATTATAAGGGATTCGGGTATAAGTCTAGAGTAAAAATAAATTAGTATAGATAGAAATATATTTCAATTACTATATATTTAAAATGATCAAAAATTGATTGATTAGTTTTTTGCTATCTTGTAGAGGGAAACTCTTAATACAAAAATATATTCATATATTCACTTAATTAAAATGTTTCCCTTGTAGTTTGACATTTACTGCGACGATGAGTGGAAGCTGTCAATGGTCGGAACCATAAACAATCTGGGACAATTCTTTGGCATTCCCATTGGCGGCTTTGTGGCAGATCGGTGAGTAAGGATACCTTTTCCCTACTGCATATAAGTCTTATCCAATTCCTGCTCCACTGTTAGTTATGGACGCAGCTTCTCCATTGCCCTGGGTGGTATTATGGGCGCCGTCCTGGGCATCGTGCGTTCCTATTCCCCCAGTTATGTGTGGTTCCTGATCTTTGAGTTTCTAGACAACATGACCAGCAGCACGTTGTACTCAACCTGCTTTGTGATCGGCATTGAGCTGGTGGGACCCAGGCGGCGGGTCCTGGCCTGCAGCGTTATCACGGTCTTTTATGCGGTGGGCGAGGTGGCTCTGGCCATGTTCGCCAAGGCCTTTCCCGACTGGCGCATCCTGCTGCGCATCACCTATATGCCCTCGCTAATCCTGCTCGCCTACTTTTGGATCCTGCCGGAGAGCGTGCGCTGGCTGCTTAGCCAGGGCAAGGAGGAGCGAGCCAAAGGCATCCTACGCCGGGCAGCCAAGGTCAACAAGCGAAAGCTCTCGGAGACCATGCTGGACAAGCTCGTCCTGGCCAACCGTGACAAGCTGCAGCAATCGGCGGAAAGCCGCTTCCCCATTCGCGAGGCCTTCAAGAACTTCAAGTGGCGCATTGCCAACTGTTCCTTCTGTTGGATTGTTCACGTCCTGGTCTACTACGGCTTAAGCCTGAATGTGGTCCTCCTGGACGGGGACAAGTACAACAATTTTGCATACATTGCCCTGGTGGAGATTCCCGGCTTCTTCATGCCGCTGCTGATCATGGACCGCTTCGGAAGACGCTACTCCCTCTGCGGCCTGATGCTGTTCAGCGGTCTCTGCTGCATAGGAACCATTTTCACTGGGGCGGATCAGCCGGTGCTGCAGCTGGTGCTGTTCCTCATCGGCAAGCTGACCATCACTGCCAGCTTCCAAGTGCTGTACTTCTTCGCCTCGGAGATCTATCCCACTAATCTGCGCAACAGCCTGCTTAGCTTCTGCTCGATGATGGGCAGGTTCGGCTCCATGCTGGCCCCCCAAACGCCTCTTCTGGTGGGTACTGAATGCGGAGGGATTTATTCAATAGTTAGTTATATTCTCTCTTTACTCGCAGGCCAAGTATTATGCCAGTGCTCCGGCTTTGATCTTCGCCGGCGCTGCCATTGTGAGCGGACTGCTCACCCTATTCTTCCCCGAGACCACCAATGTCGTCCTGCCGACGACTGTCCAGGAGGCGGATGCCATTGGCGTCAAAAAGAGACCTTCGCAGGCCAAGGATCTCGATCTAGTCGTTCCGGCGAGTCAACCGCAGTAATAGCAGCTATCATTACCGTAATCTTAGCCTAAGGCAGGGCAGCCTGCAAATACAAAGACATTTCTCCACAAATGTGTTATAAAGTCTAAGAGTAAGCCATACAATATATAAATATATATAATTAATAGCATTAACAAATAACTGAGTTTGATTTATTCACTGGCAATTGGTAATGGTCAACATTGGTACTTAAGTCTAAAAATTATGTTCAAATTAGTTTTATCAGTGTAGAAAATGTCAAAAGGTACGGCATAATATAATATTATAAAAAAAAGTATTAGCTTCCATTAATCAGTTGGCTTTGAAATATAAACAAGTTTACAATTAACAAAACAAAAGGTGATTTCATTAATCAATTCGCTCTGCGCCGAAATTAATTACTTAACTAGTGTACAAAAAAATATATATATAAAGTCGCTTTTGCTGGTGATAATATCCTAGAGGAATTTAAGAGAAATTTACATAATGAATATCAATAATTTTGATTTTTAAATTGTAAAAAAAAACTGCTTAATTTACATAATGAATATCAATAATTTTGATTTTTAAATTGTAGAAAAAAATTGTTCAATGACTTTGACTAAAGAACTGCACTATAGTCTTGGTTCCACTTGAGGACGAACCCCCAATGGTGACATTTAAAGCCTTGGACTTTTGCTTCTTTGCCTGGGCCGGCGAGGTCTTCTCCTTGCTGAGTGCCGCTGCCCGAGTGCGCAAGTCCTGCTGATTCAGTTCGCGCTGCAAGTTCCTGGCCACATGGTAATCAATGTGCTCCGGCATATCCACGCTTTTTATATATGCCTTGCACTCGGAGCACTGCTGCATAGGAACATCGCTGACCGGGGGCGGAGGTTCTTTAACGCTGAAGAACTTGGCTATGCTGTTGCCAGATGAAGCAGAACTGGTACTAGCTGCCTTCTTGGGTTTTTTCGGCGGCGTTGGCTTGGTTGCTTCCTTCTGGCGTGACTCCTTCTGCCTATCCTCCCGCTGCTCGCTCTTCAGCTGGCGGCTTAGCTCCTGGGCGAAATGATGATCTCGGTGAGTTTGCAGGGCCTTAATTTCATCAAAGATTTTGGCTCCACACTGATCGCACTCCACAGTGGGCAAAAGGTCATAGTGCATCTTGGGAACAGCGTACTCGGCGTAACTCTCCTTATACGAGTTGTCCACTTCGTTGAATTTACGCTTAGAGGTAGATGGCTGCAGTTCCTCTTCGGTAAGTGGGGGTTGTTCTGCGACAGAATTCGCTATAGAGAGGTTCTTCTCTGCCTTTGAATCCTCTGTTTCCGATTTCTGATTGGGCCTTGTTAAATCCGTATCCTCCACAGTATCGTCATCGAAATCCTTTTCATTGTTAGCCTCGATGGCGTCCAACTCCTCGGCCAGGTCCTGCATATCCGAAGAGTCCTCATCCGCTGCTTCAGGCTTTTGTTGCCGGTTTACCTTTTGTTGCTTCAAAAACTTGGAGAAAAAGCTCTCCTTGAGCTCGGGAGGCGTTGAGGTGATAGCTGTTTCCTCCGCTTCCCCTTCCGCTTGGGAGACCGCCTTCAGCTTCTGCTTGTACTCCTCAAAGAAGTTCTTTTTTGGAGCTTCTTTAGGAGTTGCCACCACAGGATTAGTGGCTTCCGGTTTCTTATCCTCTTTTTTGGATAGATAATTAGCAAAGAAGCTTTGCATCTTGGACTCCTCCGTCTGCTTGGGCTTTATTTCCACTGGAACTCTGGGCGGTGGTACTGGCTCCTCCCCACTCACCCTTCGTTTTTTGGCCGCCTGATTAGCAAACATCTCCTGTAACTTGTTCTGGGCACTAGAAACCGTCTCAAACTTGCCCACGCTGATTCCTAGGAACTTGATGGCGTTGTTCAGCGCCGCCTCGCTTCCGGCTCGCAGGAACGTCTTTGTATTGGCCTTAATTAGGTCCAGGGCATACTTCGCCAGCAAGTCCTGGTCGTAGTCCTTAAGGGCGGTGGAGCGGGAGCTAGCAACCTCCTCGCCGTCAATGTCCTGGACATACTGTACCACCATTTGCTTGGCCTTCCGATTGTTCTCAATGAAATCCTTCTCCAGTCGATCATTGATTTCAGAGGAGAGCTCCCCCAGCCAATGCTGGAGCGTTTTCAAGCCGGTGATGTTGTTCCGCCCCGGGAACTTCTTGCAGCAGCCAATGCTCTTGGAGTAGAAGCGCGGAGTAACTGCCTCCAGGTCGATGCCACGCGAGATGTTAAACAACCAGGAGCTGGAACCGGACCCACTGAGATTAGTGACTCCAATGGGAAGGCATAAAAAACTTACCCATTCTTCTCATCAAACTTGCGCTGCAGCTCCGCCTCGGTGAACTTGACAATTTGGCCCAGGAACTTGATGCCCATGGTCTCGCACACCACCTCACCGAACTTGCCGCCTAGCCCCTTGATCTTGCCCACAGGCAAGGCGTCAAACAGACCGGGGATCTCCGCCAGCGGAAGGACGGTCTGCTTGTTGGGCTTGTTCAGGCCGGCGGCCAGCTTGGCCAGGATCTTGTTGTGTGCTATGCCTGCCGAGCACTCGTATCCGGTCTCCTTCTTGACAGCTGCCCGCACCTCGCCGGCCACGGAGGCGCCGATGAGCAGACGAATGTCACTCTGGCGGACGGCTGGAAGGTCATTCTGGTCGTAGGACAGCGCGAAGCGTTCGTCATCGACGTAGGGATTAGCAAAGCGTTTGGTGATCTTGTTGACATAGTCGCCAATGCTGGTGTAGCCCACGGCAAAGGTGTTGATCAACTCCTGCGGCTTTAGTGCAAAGGCGCCCTGCAGGGAATCCACATGGTTAGAAGCTCCTCTTGCCTAACTTTAACTTGCTTACACTCTGCATTTGCTGCATGCGCAGGTTCACAGTCTCCGTGATGTCCAGGTACGCCTCGTCAACCGAGGCGCGCTCCAGTAGCGTGGTGAAGCGCTGCAGCACATTGGCCACCTCCTTGCCGGCGTCGCGGTACTTGCTAGTGTCCGCCTTCTCCCGGATATTGGGCACCTGGCAGAGCACGATGTCCGGGCAGAGGTCCTTAGCCTCGTCGCCCCGCATGTGGCGGGTAACTCCCTTGGCCCGCGCCGCATAGTTCACAGCGATGATGCCGCCCCCGCGCCAAGGATTGTACTGGACCACGGCCAGGGGCCGGTTGCGGTACTCGGGCTGCTGCTTCTCCTCCACCTGGCAGAAGAAGCAGTCCATGTCCACCAGTAGGACCACGCGATCGTATTTGCTTTGCATGCTAACATGGCTGCGTGCGGCGGCCATGGTTTCATTTCATAAATTTGCGCGGATTTCACAATAGGTCTGGAAAAGGATCGATTTCGAAGCGGTTTTAAAAGAATCGATATATCGATAAGCATTTTGTAATAAAAAGTAGCCAAGTTGGCAACTCTCTGAGAAAGTGGCTTTCGATACATCGATACCTTGAAAAAAGATACGATGAAACCAGGGAATCGATAGTATCAATGTGGCAATCGAATTTATGCCAGCTCCATTTTCCGTGGGTTTCCTTCACTTTTCGAATAATATAAACAAACAAATGAATGTTAAAATGTTCGCTACACCATAATTTACAGCGTGGTATACGCTAATCAAAAAGTAGTGTACATATCCGGGAAAACGGCGACGAAGCGGTAAAAGCGGATTCAAAATGTGCGTGCTTAAAAATAAACTAAATAAATAAGCAGTGTCCTGTTTTATTTTCTTGTGTGAAAACTATTTAAAAGCTTAAAGCAAAGTATGTGGATTACCCAAGTGAAGAGATAAGCTGGCGAAAATTCCTGGCAAGCGGTTAGGATATTGATTTTCTGCCAGAAGCCGCTGCCAAAATGCAATTTACATACACACAGGGCTGGCCCACTCATCCTCATCCCTTATCCTGGATTTTCCTGCGCCCCCCAAGTTCATTTGGGTTAATGCACGGATTATTATCGCCGGATTTATTGATCTGGTCAAGCGGTAGCCAGAAATAAATATTCCCTATCGTGCCGCGCTCTATTTCCGGCATTTCTGCGCTCCCCTTCCACATTTTCCGCCCGTTTCCGCGATTCCACCTCATCTACCTTTGCGCATTTTCCGCCTCTGTGCCGGCTGTTTTGATTGATGCGCCCAGTGTGTGTGTCCAACGGCTTAATTAGCCAAACGCACGGATTAGGAGTCCGACTCGGTAGCGGGCTCCACCCCGGTCAAGTGGCTCTTAAATCCCCTGGTGATAGGGTGGGGCGCCAGGGAGGACCCACAGGAAAGGGCGTGTTTGTGTGTATTGTTGTGACCTAATTTCCCGTCTGTTTACTTTATGACTGACTGCTTTCTGGTGGGGAGGGGGAGGGAGATGAGTTCGCCGCAGGAATGCCAGCGGAAACGAAAGGTGCAGCACTGACCTATTGTAATATTCCATGCCATATCAAGGTAGTGGTTAAGTGCGGTTGAGTTACTAGACCCACTCTGATAATGATTGCCCTACAGGGCCGGGATCGGGTTACATTACTTTGAAGGTGGTTTCTTCTGTTGTTCCATTTAAATATTTAATTGGGGTAATTTGGAGTATTGATATAAGCATTAAGGCTTTCTCGGAGTTCTTTAAGGTAAAACCTTCAACGTAAGGTTGGTTTTGTTCTTTAAATATAAGTAAGATCTTCTATGGTATCTTAGATAATTTATAGATTTTTCACATTTAACAAGTTTTTAGGCTAAAGAGAGATTTATTCGGACTTGTTTGTTAAACTATTTATATTTTTTATAACATTTTTTTAGATTTTTATACCCATTTAGGGTATTATAATTATGGTCAGAAGCTTGCAGAGCAGTGAAGGAGTCATTTCCGACCCCATTAATCATATATATTTTTGATCAGCATCAACCGGCGAGTCTTTCTAGACATTTCGCAGAGAAAAAAAAAATTTCACTTTTTTTTTTTTCAAATTTTGATAAGGGGTTACATCATTAAAATTCTTTAAAATGGACCAAAATTCTAATTTCCTAAAATTTAAAATTTAGTAAGCAGATTTGTTAATCGAGAAAAAACTAGCACAGAAAAGCTTTCCGAATTAAATTTGATGATTTTTTGGCTTAGTTATGATCAAATTTTTATTCAATACCATGAGCCTATGGAAAACTGGAAGGGTATAAAAATGTCGGCCTCCCGAGGCTAGATTTCTTGTTTTTAATTACCTTCAAATAGTTAGTAATGCCTCAAGTCGTAAGAGCACTTTCAAAAGTACTTAATAAAAATATATTTCATATTGAATGTAAATCTAGCTTTTTTTCAATTCATTATACTTATAAAAATACCTATTAATTAGAAATTCCATTTTAATATCCCTGTTGCATCCATAATAATTCCATAAACTGCCTCCCAGTTTGTCCGCATCTCTGTGACTTGCATGCGAAAGATAATTATTTTCAATTTTACAACTCTAATCAAAATTAATTGCCGTACTCTTCGCTCAGTCAGTCTGTGTCTCTAGCGCAACCTACCCCTTGGCCACGCCACTCTATGGTCACGGCCCTTATCCGGAACCCAGCATAAACGCACAATTATGCTAATGGTTTACATGCCCAAGCCACAACAACCACTTGACTGAGCCCTCGCCAAGCGCTGCGTCAACCCACTCACCAACCAAGAGCTCTCACTCACTCTGCCTCGCTCTGTGTCCACTCCCAGAGAATTCTCTTCTCTGGCGACTGATTCACCGTGAGACCATCAGTCTACGTGCGTCCGGCGATGAAGTCACTTTGCTCATCAGTCCAGCAGGGCGTTGTATTTGCATTTGCGGAGAGCAAACTGAAATCTAAAAGGATCCCCGATACTCTTTTACAGCTACAGCAGCCATGGTGAAGATTCTGCAGGCCTACAACTTTGCCCGCCAGCAGACGTACGCCCTGAACGGCGACATCCTGGCGGCCAGTCTGATCGGCAACAACCGGATAGCCATCAGCAGTGCAGAGCAGTTCATCGAGATCTACGACATAGCCGGCAAGCAGGATGATGGCGGTCAGCAGGAGGAGGTTCAACCCAGTGAGGCAGCTGCCGGAGAGCCTGCCACGGCTGCAGGAGATGAAAGAACGCCGAACAGGAACACGCTGGCCACGGTCGGGGAGGTAGTTCAGTTGATCTACTGCGAGGCGGGCAAGTACCTGCTCACCCTGGAGAAGGAGCAGGCGGGCAGTCCTGTCCACTCCTCGTCCACCATCAGTTGCACCTCGAGCAGCAACAGCAACACCGTGTGCTCCGAGGATGACACCAAGATGTTTGTGCGGATCTACGCCAACTTCTGGAAGTTTTCCGATAGCCGGCTCAACGATCTGCCCATCACCATCCGTATAGCCTCGATGACCACGCCCAAGACGCCGCTGGTGGAGAGCATTGATGTGATCGAGCTGCCGCTTCGCAGTCCGCCGGAGCTGGTGCAGTGCTGTCAGACCTCGGGCAATATTATCGTGAGCAGCCGCGACAGGATCTACCTGTACGAGTACACGCAGTGTGTCCACGAAAACACCCAGCCCCGGTTCGCCTTCATCGATTTCCTGCCCTTCAAGTTCTTTGTGCAGCTAAACTTTGTCCCCGTGCGTCTGTGTCTGGCGGAGAACGTGATTGCCTGCCTTAGTCATCGCTACTGCGTGGCCTTCAAGGTGGTAGATGCCCTGGCCAGTAGAGCAAGTGCTGGGCAGGATGTGAGCTGCTTGGATAATGATTACGCTGGCGGGGATGAACCCCTCTCGGAGTCCCTGAGTCTAGGCAGCAAGGCCAGTGCCAGTGGAGGAGGCGGTGGTGTGGTTAGCTCCAGTCACAGCCAGCAGAGCTGCGAGAGTGACTCCCTGCAGTCGACGAGCAGTGGCAAACCTCCGCTAGCCATCAATGGAGCCCTGCCTGGACGATCGCCACTGGATTTCAACGTGGCCAAGCTGGTAAACAATGCCTATGGAAGGGAATTCGAACCGGAGCTGCGCTCCCAGTGGGATGAGACCGAGAACGGCGGCGGCAGAGGTCAGGAGGATAACCAGGAGATCACCATTAGCCCCCAGCGAGCTGGTGATATTAAAATCAAGCTGGTCAACGAAGCCAAGGCCATGAATGTCCGAGGCATTGCCGGCGGCAGTCATCTGGAGGATGCCTCGGTGCAGTACGATGTGCGGAAGCTGCTTCAGATCTGTATGAAGACCTCAGAGGCCCAGCCGCGTGTGCTGGATATCCTGCGCTGCATGGACCTCAGGGCCATCTACCAGAGGAGCAGTCAGGGCACTGATCACGAGGACGACGAGTACGACATGGGCAACCAGCAGGTGCCCAGTGCAGTGACCACCTTTAAGCACGTGAATCGCCGCACGCTCAAGTCCTCGCAGCACCAGCGGTGCGTGGGACACGCTCTACTGGTGGCCAGCAGCGTTGATGGCTATCTGTACCAGTTCTCCGCCCAGGGAAAGTGGTACAGCGAGAATGAGAAGCCGGTGGCCAGCTATAGCTTCACGGCTCCCGTGATTCAGGTGCACATCAACGACTATGTGGTGTACGCGGTGACTTCCGAGTCGGTGGAGACGCACACCTCACGCATCGGCCACAAGCTCTTTCACAATCGCTTCGAGTATCCCTCGATCGGGGGCTTGTTTCCCGAGGAATCCGCCCCGGATGTGAGCTCACCCATTGCCGTGGTCGGTCTGGCTGCCTTTATGCATGTCCAGTTTGTGTGCGTTAATCGGGAGCAGCTGGTGCTCATCACCAACGCTGCTTTGGAACTGCATAAGCGGCGTAGTATGGGCGAGGTGCCTGGCAGCCAAGTGGTGACTGTTAAGCGGAACATTGCGGCCCGCCTGCTGGCCGAGGCCAAGGCCAAGCACAGCAGCTTGCTGAGGAGCAGCAGTGCAGCCCAATCTGCAACGGTTCCCAATGAGTGGACGCTGTATAACTTGGAAGTGCCCCGCGTGGAGTGCGTTATTGAAGATCTCGAGGGCATTGCGGAGTCGTATCGCAGTGCAAGTAGCTCAAACTTTTACGATCTCATGGAGGAGGCGCATGTGATGCTGCGCCTGAGTCTGACGCTGCAGGGCGAGCGTTTGGGGGCGGAAAGGGAGCAGCAGCTACGCCAGATGTTTGTGGCCAACTGCAGGAAGCTGGCGGACTTTTCAATAAGGTAAGATAATCCTTCTAATTTGAAGTTTACATTTATTTAAAATTTGTATGCAGATCTTGCAAGCAGGAGGTGTACCTCCAAGCCACTGGTTTCTACAAAATGTGTCAGCTACAGTTGGTGGACATCTTTAATCACTATGTGGAGCAGTTTCTGGACAGCGGAGAGAGTGTGTTGGACACCGCTCAGCTGGCGGGTTTGATTTACACGGTGAAGCTGTTCCTGCTTGGCCTGGGAACGGACCGCCTGCGGTCTGCCTTTCTCAACCAGACAGTGCGTCCTTGCTTCACGCCCGCTCGGGTGATCCAGCAAGGCTACAAGCAGGTGCCGCTCTCTCTGGAGTTTCTGAACATGTTTATTAAGCATGCTCCTGCGGATATACCACAGATCATGCTGGGCTCGCCCGTGGTGGCGGACACCATGAGCGGGGAGCTGATCAACTATTTGAAGTACTTGAACAAGCTGTAAGTTTTTGGATTTATTAGGTTTGCTTTTGGTTAATAAGTATCCTACCCTTTCAGTTCCCCCGATGAGACGCTCCTGCTTGCTGTGACTGCCTGCCGCATGTCCAACTACCTGCTGGCCCAGGAAATCATAGCCAAGTCCAGCAGACGCAGTCTGGCCACTGCCCTGATCCGGCACAAGAATGTTCTCTTCGACGACAGCACTGTGATTTATCAGCGACGCCAGCAGCAGCAGCAGCAGCCGGCTGACTCCCCGCAGGCTTCCAGCTTGCGTGGCAGAAAGTCCAGGCGGGGGAAGAATAAGCCCGCTACTTTGGGCACACCCACTGCCAGTGCCATCGTATCCTTTTCGGACTTTTGCGAGACCATTCTGCTGGCCATCGAGCAGCCCGCCTTGATCGAGGCCATCAGCGATGCCTTCATCCACGCCCTGTGCATCGAGCACAGCCTGACGCTGGAGGTGCTGCTGCAGCTGTTCCTCAACTACATTGCTTCGCACATTGGCCAGAAGGGTTACCAGACCTCGCAAAAGGTGTTTGTGAACATCCTGCAGGTGTATTACTACGATCTCTACGACGTGAGCTCCGCGCTGCAGCCGCACGAGATACGCTCGCAGACGCCGCCGCAGCTGGATGATGACTATGATGAGGAGTGTAGCAGTTCGAGGGCGCCTTCGCTGCACAGCGAGGCGGATGCCCAGTCGCTGTCCAGCTCCTGTGCCAGTTCGGCTCATGAGGATCGTTCGGCTAGCTTGTCGGTCAGCGGCAGGCAGCAGCGCATTGTCTATGATCAGCTGCAGGAGCAGCAGTCTTCGTCGCCTTTCCAGAAGCGCAACTCGAATGCCTCGCTCTCCCAGCCTCAGGCCGAGGATGATTTGGCAGCCACCAATCTCAAGGGTCTTAAGATTCTCTTTCGCATGTACATGGGTCGGCTGAAGGCCCTCAGTGATCTCATTACCGACCTCCAGTCGGCGGATGTGGAGCAGCAGTCCAGCCGTGAGGAGTTTATGAACCTGCGCATGGAGTGCATCTCCTACATGGTGGGCATGGCTCCCAACTACACCGCCAAGCCGAACATAAAAAATCCCAATGATCCGCTGGCAGGCAAGCTAATATACGTACCCTTCATGCCTGATTACAAGTTGCCGGAGGGGGAGGAGTATGAGCGCCACATCAAGGGTTACATACGACCCATACCCTGTCTGCTGGAGCGACCGCAGTACCTGAATCGGCTGCCGCCCTTCGAGCGCAGCGACTTTAGCTATCCGAACAAGGATGAGGGGGAGTTCGAGGTGCGCTTCCTCAGCTGGAGCAACGAGCTGCTAACGCTTACGTTGAAGATCCAGAGTCTGCTGGCCTCTGCCAAAGTGGATCGCGAGATTATCTCCGAGTTCCTGGCCTTCATACAGAAGACGCCGCACTTGATAGGCATTGACAGTTTCCTGGTGATTGTTCTGCCCAAGAATTTGGCCATCAACTATCTGCTTAGCTTCTGTCCTGCCTACTTGTGGCAGTATGGGAAGGTGAGTCATCTCTGGGGAGAGGAAGTTCCTTCCTAAGCTATTCTTTCTTTCAGTCCTGCGGTTTTACCCCCAAGCACTGGGAGAGTCTTTTGCGGAAGATACTCAGCAAGCAGGAGGCTTTGCCCAATTGGAAGGCTCATATTACAGGTTTGTAAAGGAAAAATGCACTTTTCATAAACAACTTTCAGTTATAATGTCAACTTTCAGAGATTCTCAACAATCTGGTGGCCGAGCTGAGCTTCGAGGAGCTGCTGCAGTGCTTCCCCAGCGAGGTGATTCAGAATCGAAACACTGCCCAGTATTTCGCCAAGGAATTCGCCGAGACCTGCGTCCTCTACGAGCATGAGGAGCTCGTCTTCAAGACGCCCGATCGGAAGGAGGGTGAACGAGAGCACATGCCCATGGACAACATAGACGAGGATAATGTCTTTGAGCTGACATTGCGCAAGGCGGTGGCCAAGCAGCGAAGCATAGCCCTGAGATCCATGATCGAGTCGACGGGCACGCAGTTGTTTGATGCCACCAGTAATCCCATGTACAACCTGTAGGCATTCCACTTTGAACTAGTTCAAAACTAAATTATCACTTGGCGAATCGATAAGATTGATTGGATATTAATCAAAAAGTAATCCACGTAGCAGGCACTGTATTGTATTGTATTTACGATATGTATTTTGTAGCTTTAGGATACACCACACCCCCAACATTATTTATTGACATTTTAGTTTGACACAAACGCAACATTCGGTTACTGGGTGGGATGATTTATGTAGAAACCCCCTTCTGGGCTTTAGGTTGTAACAAAAACAAACTCGCTCGAAGCCCTTCTAGGCGGTATTGGCCATATTAAACCAGTTGGGAGATCGGGGAGAGATCTCCACTCGCTATCCAAGTTTATTTTAAACTTAGCTTTACTACCCCTCAAGTATTTATTCATCAGTTTACTCTTCTCTATACTCACCCACACACTCTTCTTACACGACTAGGCATCAAGATAAAGTGATATTTTTAATTCTTGCATTGAATCTGAACAATAAAAGCATAAATACATTACAAAGGCCATTGAGTTTGAGTCCGAATCCGCGATAAGGCGGCAAAAGTCGCGCTTACTTAATCCCACAATTAAATGCTGGCCACTGGCTCTGAATGGGGCGGGTGGGCGTGCCAAGGTAATTGAACGTGCGAACACAAAAAGCAGCGTGAATAACTCAGTCAATTAAGAGCGTCAACTAAGACTACTCAGTCTCTAAGCGTCGCTCGGCAGTAGCAGCAGCAGCGCCAGCAGCATGTCCAAACTGCAGCGCACCCTGGACGTAGTTCCCGAGAAGTCAGAGACCGAGCCCGAGGCCGTAAGCCTGCCTTCGTTCACAGAGGGCTGCCAGCTGGACGCCATCATTGTGCAAATTGGACAGTTTGGTCGCTTCCAGATCACCAATTATTTGCTGCTCTGCCTGCCCATCATCTGCAATGCCTTTTATTCAATTTCCTACGTGTTCACCGCCAGCGAAGTGGCTTACAGGTAGGTCAGTTACTAAGGTTAATCTCCTCGAAGTCTATATAAAAAATCCCTAACAGATGCAACATCACCCAGTGCGACACTCTAGGGAGCAGCTACGAGGAACCCTTCCTCAACTTCACTACCCCACAACGCCACGGGGGTTGGGCTCATTGCGAACACTATGCCTTCCGACCTGATATGGGGGCTGTTCTGGGTCTGTATCTGGGGGCAGATCCCTGCCACAATAGCAGCTTCGATAAGGGTCAACGGGTCAGCTGCGAGTCGGGCTATATACTTAGAAAAGACGAAAAAACCATAGCCAGCGAGGTGGGTTCTTCAGTTGAATTCAGGTGATATTTTGGTTATAAAAATCTCTTCTTTATCCCTAAAGTTTGGAATCTTTTGCGGCGAAAAGTGGAAGCTGTCTATGGTGGGTACTGTGAACAATATCGGACAGTTTGTGGGCATTCCCTTGGGCGGTTACCTGGCCGATAGGTAAGTTTTAATAAGATATTTACTTGCTGCTTAGCTTCTCCCAATCATAAATCAAACAAACAAAATTGCAACTCACTTAATTTATAAAGCTTATTATCTGTCTAGTTTTCCCATAAACTTGGCAAACCATAACCTTCCACATTGAAATGAAAAAATATCTTTGTAAATATTTAGTGGCATTTTAAAGTAGTTGGAGCTAAGATCAGGTAATTCGGAATGCAGAACACGCATATCCATGGAATTCGCGACCTCACCAAAATGGTGTCCCATATGAAGTTCAAATTTAATTAAAACTAGTAGATTTCTGCAAACACGTTCGAGTTGAAAAAAAGCAGGAAAGCCTAACTTTGGGAAGCCAAAGTCTGTATACCCTTGCAGTTTGCAATTTGATCATTTCCAATCAAATAAATTAATAACCCCAAATACTTAATTCAATTTCAAATCCATCTTATTTCATATTAAAGTGTTATTTTAATTTATAGTCACTTTAAAAATGTATTTCTTCACAGATATGGTCGCAAATCAATACTGGTTGTGTCGGGCGTCCTGAGCTCCTTCGCCGGACTGGCCCGCTCCCATGCTCCCGAGTACTACAGCTTTCTCAGTCTAGAATTCCTTGACATGGCCGTAGGCAGCACGCTCTTCCCCACCGCCTTCCTGCTGGCCGTGGAGCTGGTGGGCCCCAAGCACCGAGTGGTGGCCGCCACTATGATAAGTTTGACTTACGGTCTGGCGGAGGCATCCATGGGCTACCTGGCCGACTACCTGCGTGACTGGCGGGTGTTTCTCAGAGTGCTCTATGCACCGGCTTTGCTGCACTTGCTCTTCATATGCCTGCTGCCAGAGAGCGTGCGCTGGCAGCTTACCCAATCCAATGAGTTGGAAGCGAAGGCCACGCTGCGAAAGGTGGCCCAGGTGAATCGTAAGGAGCTGCCGGAGCGGCAGCTGAGTGAGCTGATCCGGTGCAATCGCAAGCTCGTAGACGGAGAACAGGCCCCCGGAGGTCATTACACAGCTGGGCAGATCAGTCGGGCGCTTGGAGGTCGGATTGCTCTGTGCTGCTTTGTGTGGTTCACCCACACCCTCGTCGCCCTGGGATTGAGTATTCACTCGGGCGAGTTGAACGGCAGCAAATTTGAGAACTTTAGCATGACGGGATTCATGCAGGTGCCAGGCGTCCTGCTGGGCACCGCCCTGATGCACTGGGTTGGACGCCGATGGGCGCTCACCTCCTGTCAATTCACCTGCGCCACCCTGATTCTGGCAGTGGCGGCCACGAATGAAGGTGAACATAAAAGTGTATAGGAGAAATTCTCACTGAAGACATTCTTATTCTAAACAGATTATCCCCTGATCTCCTCAATACTGTTCTTTCTGGCCAAGATGATCTCCACGGGCAGCTTCATGATCGTGTACTTTTTCACCTCCGAGATCTTTCCCACAAACTGCAGGAACAGCCTGCTCTCCTTCTGCTCCTGCATGGGTCGCTTTGGCTCCATGCTGGCCCCCCAAACAATTCTCCTGGTGAGTAACTACTCCGATCTAACCGAACTTTAAAACATTAAGACCCTTTTTTAGATTGCATACTATGAGTATGCTCCGCACTTGCTTTTCGCCCTGTTTGGATTCACCTGCTCGGGCCTTTCACTCTTCTTCCCGGAGACCACCAACAAGGTGCTGCCCACCACTCTGGAAGAGGCACGAGGTCTGGACAGGAGCATGCCCGGGGCTAAAGCGAAAAGTGAAGAGAAAAGTACTGCGTAATCTAAATTAATCTAGAGTATCGGAAATCAGAAAAATCGGAGCTTGTGACTTTCGATGACCAGCAAAATATGATAACAAGTACAAGTATTAGCAATAAATAGTTTTTGAATTTAAGAAGTCGCCGGGCGATTTTTTTTACATGGTAAGTATATGTATATGATGAGCAATAAAAATAAATACTTTTGAAATTGAAGATATAGGGAATTATATAACACGATGGGTAATGAACTGCCCCAATTTTACATTACTCGAATATGTAAATATGGTATTTATTTTAATAATATTTCATAATATTTTTATCCTCAATTTGTTGGTAATTATTTTAAAATAAATTCAAAGAGATTTTAACCCTGCTCTATCCCAGCTACATACAAAATTGATCAGACTATAGCCATTGGTATAGAATTGTTCCAACAACATATACATATATTCCTCAGATAATGCCAAATAGCAAATTGATTACGTTTGAAGTGGCCTGGCAAACAAATGTGTGTTTAGTCTGGGTTATTTCTCTAATTCCGTTTGTCAACGGGACTTATCACCTGTGTGACTAGCATTTAAACGAGATATTAGCGATTTATGACCAACGACGCTCAGTGGGGCCCAGAGCCATATATCCGTCGGGCAATTTCAATTACAGCTCCCATCGGAAGTTATCATTGATTTATCAGTTTGCCCGGCAACAGAGCCGAGCCGAGTCGAGCCAAACCAAACCGAGCCGAAGCAATACGATCCATTTAATAAGAGTTTCCCCCCCTTTAATTATCTTAGAGTCCGTGTAAAGTAAATCAAGTGTGAAGCCACACAGAGATGGCAGGCGCCAAAGTCAATGGCATCGGTTAAATAGCGTAAGATAAGCCGAAGGTCGGCGGGACCAAGGAGCACTTGTTGACCCAGTCGAGCAATCAGCTAACAGGCGGGAACAGCTGTCGAACCAGACGACACCCAGTCTCGCCGTCTGAAAGATAAACAAAACCATACTGAGCTGCGAAACCCGTTCCCATATCGATTGATATAGTCCATTCAGAATTTAACGCGCTCGAATTAGGATTGTTAACACAACGAGTTATCGTCGCCTGGGAAGTACAAATAGTTTTGGATGGGATTAGGGCCTGATAAGACCTCGTCGATAAGCAGCGTCGAGGAAAAGACACCATAGCACGGAGTATGGAAGAGCAGATAGATTATAAATAGCTTGGAGAGACGCGAGAGTCGGGGAGCCGCCGAATCACAATAGACCACTCTCCGCACCGCACGAAACTCGGTTGCTCGAGCTTCTTGATTCCGTCAGTCAATGAGTGGCACTGCTCCCAGCTAGACGCTCCGGAGCGTCTATACATAAGACCAATTGCCGCCGTATCGGAAGCGGTATTGTGAAATTTCGGAGGCGCTGCGAATGAGTTATAAAACAACGAGCGGTAAAGTGCAGTCTACCACGTGCTCCGTCGTATAGTCAACAATGACCCGTCAAAAGGAGGGAGATGGGGGCTCGCCAAGAAATCCCAGAACCAACGGACATGCGGATACGGAGGCGGCTAAGGAGACACAGACGGCGGCAGGTGATGACGACAACTCTCTGGACGCGATTCTGGTGAGGATCGGACAGTTTGGTCGCTATCAGATCATTAACTATGTGCTGCTGTGCGTGCCCATGCTTTTCAATGCCTTCTTCTCCATCTCCTACGTCTTCACCGCGAGCACCGTGGTTCAGAGGTGAGTTATTTCCCCGTGAAATTTGTTAGCTCATCAAGATCTGATCTGATTTATATCAGGTGCAATGTGTCGCAGTGCGACAGTCCCAGCAGTCTTTACGAGGAGGACTGGTTAAACTTCACTGTGCCGTACAAGAACTCTGCCTGGGATTCCTGCAATCGCTATGTGGCAAACGACACGGCCATTGCCAGCTTTCTTCCATATACAGATCCCTCCGGAGAGTTCTGCGCCAAGGAGTACTTCACCAATCAGACAGAGACCTGCGGGCACGACTTCAAGTTCAGGGACGAGGAGAAGACCATATCAACAGAGGTGAGTGGTTGGCAATGTGGAATATAGCAATTAAAAGATTAGAGGGAAGGGGGTTATCTGTAAAGGTTTTATTTTTGTCTTCAAATTAAAACTATTTTTGGCATTAAATTGTTTTATTCTCTGCCTTTTGCATAGGTATTTGAGTTTTCTATTATTAGAGATCATTAAATTATAAATATATCCATAAACGATTGATTGAGGTCTTCACAAAAATAATTGTGGACTACCAACTGGGAAGATGAATATGTTTAAGGTGTTTCAGCTGTTTAAATGATTTATAAAGACAACACAAATATTTTTAAAATTATTTACAACAAAATGTGCACGTTCTATCTACGTGTAAATATTTGCGATCAAAATGTATTGTCTATGCTCGACCGGTTTAGGAAAAACCAATTACGTTTTAAAAACCTGAATTACCTTATCTCATACTCCTCATTCTGCTTTCTACACTTCAGATAGTCTTTACAAAGCAGGTTTATCTCTATTTATTTTGGGTATATGTTCTTAGGATTTAAAATACATTGAAATTACATTCGCTTTTTGAGAATATATATACCTCTATACCTCAATGTACTAATCCCCAACTATTTAAATGTATATTACTATTTCTACTTTACATTGCTACGCTAGTCCCAAAAAACATTTTATTTTTAAACAATTTTGATTACTTATTAACTAAGTTTATATATCTATTATCTTACAGTTCGGAATTTACTGCAAAGACGATTGGAAGCTGTCGATGGTGGGAACTATAAACAATGTGGGCCAGTTTGTGGGCATTCCCCTAGGCGGTTTCTTTGCAGATCGGTGAGTAACCCGGACCATAATTATGTTGTTCCTCTCTCTAATATCTCATTCTCCCTCTAGATACGGCCGTCGTACCATGCTGGCCGTGGCTGGCACTTTGAGCGCCTTCATGGGCATCATTCGGTCGCTGTCGCCCAACTATTCCATGTTCATGGTGTTTGAGTTCCTAGATATGGCCGTAGGCAGCACCCTCTTTCCCACTGCCTTCCTGCTGGCCATCGAGTTGGTGGGTCCTAAGAGACGGGTGGCGGCGGCCACAATCATCACGATTTTCTATGCGGTGGGCGAGGCCTTCCTCGGCTTCCTGGCCTCGCAGGTACAGGACTGGCGCTGGCTGCTCCGCGTTCTCTACACCCCAGCGGTGCTGCAGATACTCTTCCTATGGATTCTGCCAGAGAGTGTTCGCTGGCTGCTCAGCCAGGGATCCGAGGAGAAGGCAGCCGATGTGTTGCGTCGAGCGGCCCGCATTAACAAGCGGTCGTTGCCGGAGGAGCAGGTGGAGGAGCTGCTGGCCAGCAACCGTCAGAAGCTTGGCCAGACCAACGAGAGTCAGTACCCAATCATGCGGGCCGTGCGCTTCTTTGCCCTAAGGATAGCCAACTGCTGTCTTTGTTGGTTCACGCACACGCTGATTGCCCTGGGACTGAGCCTCAACTCAGTGAATTTGGGGGGCAACAAATACACCAACTTTATGCTGAACGGCTTCATCCAGATCCCCGGGCTGCTGCTGCCCCTGGTTATCATGGATAGGATTGGAAGGCGTTACTCGCTTTGCGCCTCCATGCTGCTCTGTGCCATTTGCATGGGGGCCTCCGCGGGAGTGGGAGAAGGTAGGACCAGGTGACTCTGCTAGAGAAAAAGTAGCTAATGCAAGATGTCTCTCTTTCTTCCAGATAACTATGCGGGTTCTCTAACCCTGTTCCTAATTGGCAAGCTGGCCATCACTTGCAGCTTCCAGATCCTGTACTTCTTCACCTCCGAGATCTTTCCCACGAACGTGAGGAACAGCCTGCTGTCGCTGTGCTCCATGGTGGGTCGCATAGGGTCCATGCTGGCCCCACAAACGCCTTTGCTGGTGAGTTTATCCCCTTAAATTTCCGGATACCAACTTAAAATGATTTTTAATTTCCAGGCCAAGTACTACATATACGCCCCGCAGATCCTGTTCGCCACCTTTGCCCTGATCAGCGGCTTTCTGACCCTCGGCTTTCCGGAGACGGCAGACAAGGTGCTGCCCACTACCATGGAGGAGGCACGCGACCTGAATCTGGCCAGGGGGCGGAATCAGGAGGAGCAGCAGAGACAGCCGGCAGAAGGAGGGGCGACCCACAAGGTCTCGCAATGATCATCTCTGGGGACTTCCAAAGAGGCTTGTGTTTTAATTTTAAGTGAGAGCCAATGCATTTGTTGATTTTTTAACGTGTTTAATTTAAGCTAAGATTCGTCCGAACTGAAAGATTTTAGAGCACAAACTTTTCTGCGTGATATTTATATGCCGATTGAGCTTTTTCTGTTAGTGTAAATGTCAGGAACAGCCATGCCATTATTTATTGTTCGCCTAAGCATGTATCTAGTTAATCCACTTTGTCTATTAATGGCAGCTGCTAAGAATACAGTGTGTTGTCCTGAAATAATTTTAACATTTGTCTTTAGTTACGAATTTTTGGTTTTATTTTGTATATAAAAGATTGTCTATAAAGTGTGTGTACTTGTGTTTCATTGACTCCCTTCCAGAGTTTTTATTTTACTTCTTGAATTTAATTTTTATAGCCTTCTAGGGAATTTTACTTATGGTCAGAAGGCTGCAACGCAGAGAAAAATAAATTTCTGATCTTTGATCAGCATTAACAGCCAAGTCAGTCAAGTTAAGTTTCGAATTGAATTCTATTCCTTTTGAGTTAGTTATGACACTTTAATGCTATAAATGCTATAAAATGATGCATGACTATTTAAATTTTAGTACCCTTTTGTAGGTATTATATTTTCAGGAAATTTTTTTTTTTAATTTTAGACCCACCTGTTTAAATACATTTTGAATTTATTTTTTAGGTATGTAGATAAGTGTGGCAACACTGGTGGAAATACACTTAATTTTTACATTAAATTTTACTTTCGACGGGCGCCACCTCCCCAGTCGAAAAACTTTCCCCAAGTTCCTACAAATTTCGCTCTGTAGCGCCACTTAACCATTTTAAGCAGGTTTTAAAAGACAAAACATATGTTTTTATAGATTATCAGGCGACTAAGTTAATAATAACCAATTTTAGTTCTTTTTCTTTGGCTTTTGAATACAAAAAACTATACATATATCCTATAGTTCAAGTCTCTATATTCAACAAAGAGGTTTAAAGGAAACTCGAATTAAAAACAAGAAATATTTTAGACTTATCCACAAGGATATAAAATAATTAACAGTCTATATTATCGGCTTTTGTGCTTCTATTCCAGTCAAAATTCAACAATAAACTTTCATTTAATTTTGTAGTCAAACAACAATCTCAATAAATGATAGCTACAAACTTGAACAAATTCCTTGCACTTCAATATCACTTAATAATTAATGCTCTTTGAGATTTCTGTGTCAATAATTATTGATAACTTCTAAAAAAGTGTTTTAATTAATTTTAGAACTGGACATTTTGCATTGGTTACATCCGATTTTAACAGTGAGTGGTTTTTTTTCTTCCTCCTCTTTAGGTGATATCAAAGGTACTCGACGCTTTCTTCGTGCTAAAAGTTTGCAGAGCTCGTAGGTGCCATGTCAAACAATAAATCGAACACACCCTTTTGAGTGGGGAACACATGCACTTGGCTCTTGAATGAAAATACTACGCATCTCCGAGTAACTTCGATGGCATTCGTAGTTGCAGCCAGAGACATCGGGTCTCGGGTCGTGGGCCTAGGAAGGTCTCCTCCGGCCTGTTGACTCTTGCTGACATCGATGGTATCGCTCCGAAGAACCTTATCTGCCGATCTGCCGATCGTCCGATTGGATGGCCAGGTTCGGAGCAGTGACGAGCAGTCAGTTACCAATTGTCTATAGACGCGGAGAGACATGAGCGGTGACTATGAGAGCGGTGACTACTTCATGCGCAGTCGGTGGGTTTTGGCCCTAATCGCGGTGTGATGTCAGAACGATAACCAGGGCTTCCGATTCCGTGTGCTTTCAGGAAGGCTCGCGACAAGCCGTCGCTGTGGGACTCCTTCCAAGACCCGCCCTCGAAGAACAAGAGCGGCTCCGATGTCGACTGGAAGAAGCTGCAGTTCTTCCTCAAGCTCTTCAAGCTCTGCGTCTACCTCCTGGTCTTTGCTGTGGTTCTGGCCACGAGTGTGCTTGCCCAGTTGCTTTATCTCTACATGGCCGGGAACACTGGAGGTGGCGGTGGGCCGCGGGTGCAGGTGTGCAGCAAGTACCGTGAGTGAAGGCCAAAGAAGTCAATGTTTGGATTAGTGATATCTCAGCGGATATTTGTCTTCTTTGGTTTCCGATTGCAGTGCTCCTCCGCAGCGGTGGGGAGGTTGTGGCCGCCCGCAACAAGCTGGACCAGATCGCCTGGGTGTGGGCCTTGATCTTTGCCTTTGCAGCTCCCGAACTGCTGACCTTTTTGCGTTCACTTCGAATCTGCCTGTTCAAGAGGGAGCAGCGACCAAGCGGACTGGAAGTGGGTCTGGTGAGTGTTTACCGGGCGGAACTTTCTATAGTTTTTTGTGGGGGAAGCACACACTTCGGGTGACTCAAGTTAAATATGGTATCAGAGAGGTTTATGGGTGACTGGATAAATAAGTTTTTTAAGGCTATCCTAGCTTAAAGATTTTCCTTTAAAAATCTCTCTAAAAAATTCTCTAGAATTTTCGGACTTTTCTTGGCCAAACTTTGGATTCAGAAACTTTTAGTTGAAGTTCTTGGTAATGATAACAAAAATGTATGAAAAGTTGTTCATGTTCAATGCGAATATTTGCTTAGTTGAGAGTTTTATTTGATTACGTTGTTTATTTTTAATTTTCTAGTTACCTTTTCGGAAAAGTTTGTTTCTTCTTTTATTATTAAATGTGTGTATATTTGAGGAAGAGTTATATTATTTTGGTACTAATTTTTAAATAAGTAATATCCAAATAATACAAGAACCTCTAGCATTTTGCAAGATCCTGGTCCGAGTTAGGGGCTTATAGAATCTCCATCCATATTGCATCATCGTAGCCAGCCATAGCTTGAGTCACCCTAACCAAAGCCCAGTGGAGATTGATTGATAAGTCCCCGCTAATCAGGTCACGCTCTTTGAACTGCTGCACGTCGTTGGCCTGGCCCTGCTCACCTTCACCGTGCTCCCGGCGCTGGATGTGACGCGCGGTGCGATGCTGTGCTGCTGCGTCTGCTTTGTGCCCGCCCTGCTCAGTGAGTAATTCTTTCTCGCCCCAACACTTAGGGGGACACAAGACACCTGCCCACCACCCAGCACCCAACACCCGCTACTGACGACGACGACAACAGCTACGAGATGTTATCGGTGGCCGGGTGTGTCGACTGACAACAATTAAATTGATTGCCCTCCGGCTGCTCAACGTTTCAGATTTGCTGACGGGCACGCGGCTGCACTGGAAGTCGGTGGACAGCCTGGTCCTGGGCCTCTCTATCCTGGCGCTGTTGGCGCAGGGCAGTGCCTTCCTGCTCTGGCCCTCGATGAGCGACCGACTGGAGGTGCAGCTGCTGACCATTCCGCTGCTCCTCGTCTCATTCCGCTGGTGGGAGAACTTTGCCAACACCCACGAGGCCCTGGGTAAGTGCTCACTGTCGGTCCACTATCGACTTAACTCGGGCACCAGGGAAAGCTTAATTAGTGTAGAAAGGATCCAAGGGGTGGCTTGGTGACTTTGAATGAGAAGGTTTCTTAGTTGATATAATATTCTTATGCAGTTGAAAATGCTCTTTAATCTTTAATATAGTTAAATTAATATAAAAGCTGTATTAGTTTAGATTTTTGTTGAGTTTTCTATTTAATATATTTCTGCTTCATCTTACTCTTATCCATCGATAGCCTATATCATTCGCACCATTCGTTGCACCCGCTCCCGTTACCACATCTACCTCTACCTAGCACCCCTGAAGGTCATAGTTTTTGCGGGTATGGGCTTCCTCCTACACGGCCAGGATTTTGTGGAGTATTTCACCCGGTTCCTGGATGCCTGGCGGCCGCACCTCATCACGCTGGTGGTGAGTGATCTGTATACTAATTATAGCGAAGCACAGGAAGAAAATTAAAGGATTTACACCATAATTTTTATAACATTAGATAAATAAATTAGGGATTACAGATTGGAGTATTTAAATATCCTATAACCTTTACAAATAATTTGAAAGCAGTTTATTAACTGTTGTTTTAGATATAAATTTGAAAGGATAACATTTATTTTTCAATCTAATAAATTATCTAATTTTCTTTAAATTTCCTTTTTTTGTAAGTTTTTTATCATAATATTTTTAATATTTCCGATTTTCTTTCTTAATTTCCCGTGCAGCAAACCGGCGGCGACTCCATTGCACTGAATTCCACCCTAGGCAACTCATCAATCAGGGCCCAGCCGCCCAGGACGCAGTTCACGATGCAGTCCAGTCCCAATGCGGTGGTCTATGCCATGGCCGTGCAGGTGGTGGCCGCGTATTTGTGCCACGTTTTCGGCAAGTTTGCCTGCAAAATCAAGATCCAGGTGTTTAGCTACGCCCTGCCCCTCAGCCTGGCCGGACCGACAGCGGTGTGCGTGGTTACTTACCTGGCCCATCTGCGGGCTGCGGATCCGTGCTCTCTGCACGGTCTCCTGCCGGACTATCTTGGCCTGCAGGCTCTGGGTGGGAATGTGGAGGAACTGGGACAGCGCTGCCTCGACTTGGCCCTGTGGCTGTGGCCTCTGTGGTGGCTGGGCCAGGTTTGGACCTGCCTGCACATCTGGCAGCCTCACAACGACAAGAACGCCCAGACCGAGAAGCTATTCGTGTGTCCCTGGTACTGCGGCCTGCTGGTGGACCAGTGCTCGATGATGAACCGCCGGATTGTGGACTGGAGCGAGGAGTATCTGGCCATCAAGGTGAGAGGGGGTTAGGTGACCGGAAAGTGAGAAAACTGGCTCCCGGCTCCGGAGGCCTTAATTGTGTGCGGCAAATCAGATTGCGCCGGAGGAGCCGAGTTCATGTTAATGAATTATTGTAATCAGGCGCCTGCCTGGCATCAATCATCGCGCCAAGTTCGCAGAGAGAGAAGCCCTCAGCTGGCTTCCACCCACATCCATCTATTCCGGGGGACTTTTCGACCTATTCTGAGGGGAGAATGGTGGCAAGTGGAGAGTCCTTGCTGGCACTACTGATGTGCGCTTCAAATGTCAGGCAATGTAATTAAGTTAAATGACGGGGAAACTGCAAAGTTCAGGAAATGTTTGCGTTTCCCCCGCTTTAGTGGGGATCGGGAATGGCCGGGATGCGAGGCTGTTCGCTTTTCGGTGGGTGTAAACTTAATTAAAAGTGCTTCAGAGCCCCACTCGCATGTTTTCGGGGAGGCCTACGCGGCATAAAGACATTAAAGTAATTAAAATCAGGGCATATGAGTTGATTTTAAGGGCATAAATTAGAGGCCCGGCGAATTATGTGCATTCGTAATGCCGACGCGTCATTAGGTAGCGTGAACAAGTTAAGCGGCTCTGCCCGTAATGAGATAACCCAGAAAAGGGTTTAAGTCTGGTCCCAAAATATTGCCCCAGCAGCAAAGAGCCTTTTTTTTATTCAGGAACTTGGAAACTTAAGCTTACTCCTTTATTTTTTTATAGAATTTAAAAGCTGTTTAAGACTTGGCAAGAAATACCTATATTAAAGACCCCACTTTGTTATAGATTTAAAGATTTCAGAAAGCTCGATAAACCGCAAATATAAGTCTCGAAAAAATACAACAATTTTCCCCCACTTGATGCTCTGCAAATACCGCATTTGATTTGTCGAAATCCGCAATGCAATCATTCGGAGCTTGAACTAAACCCAGCTATTTCCAGAGCGACTTAACCACGCCACGGGACCCGGTGGTGGCTCTAGCAGCCGACATCAATGCCAGCCGGGACATCCAGGAGGAGGACAAGGTGCCGCAGCTGATTGTCTGCGCCACCATGTGGCACGAGACCGAGGACGAGATGATGGAGTTCCTCAAGTCAATCGTGCGCCTGGACGAGGATCAATGCGCCCGCCGCATGGCAAAGACGCACCTAAACGGCGGCAAGGCGGACGACGAGTACTATGAATTGGAAAGTATGTAAATGTGCCAAGATATTCCCGGGCAAAAGCAGATGCAGCAGGAGTTGCAGATACAGATACACAGCTGCTGTCGTCCGCAGTCCTCCTGCATTTGCATTGCGCATTTAAAATGTGTCAAAGTGGAAATTTATGCAAGCTCGGGATGCTGTTCGCAGCTCTCTATTTATAACATTTGGCGACTTCATTTCCGCGCTTGCCAAAATGGCACCAAGCCAACCGACACCGACCAAGTCGGCAACTGCCGGCGACAACTTTACGATCCTAGTAATATGGATTCAGCTCCTACACAGCAGAAGATCGCCAAGGCAGCTTGTCAATTTCCTATTAAGGATTTTATTATTATTTAGTTTTAATGAGTTTTCTGGAAAAAATAATAGGAACATATCAATAATATTTATTGTTTTGTTAACTACCATATCTAAACTTATCTACACAAACTACAGAATTCAGGGTCTTAAGATCCTTTAAAAATACAACTAAACCAATGCTTTAAAATTTTAATTTATACAGAATTGTTTGTCTCACGCAGTTTATTCCATAACAAATTTTCAATGGAATTTTAAACCCTATTTATGTATATTATGAGCTTAAATTTGTAACAAGACTCTCCAGTGAAGAGAAAGTTTAACTTAAACGAAGGAAATTTTTCTTAAAAATTAAAAAAGTATTCTGTAAATTTTGGAAACAAATTTGATCTTACAAAATTAAATTATTAAAATATTATTTCCTACCCAGCCAACATTTTCTTTGACGACGCCTTCGTGCTGGACCCCCGGCAGTGTCAGAACAAGCGTAATCCTCCGGTGAACGAGTACGTGAAGACCCTCACCCGCACCATCGACAAGGCTGCCTTCGAGGTTTATGGTGTAAATATCCGTCTAAAGCCGCCGCTGAAGATCGAGACGCCTTACGGGGGACGCTTGGTTTGGACTCTGCCTGGACGTACCAAGATGGTGGCTCACTTGAAAAACAAGGACAAAATCCGGCACAAGAAGCGCTGGTCGCAGGTCATGTACATGTATTACCTGCTCGGCTACCGTATCATGGAGACGGAGCAGCTGTCGCCGCGGCGCAAGGCGGTGATAGCGGAGAATACCTTTATCCTGGCCCTAGATGGAGACATTGACTTCCAGCCCCGGGCCGTCCAGCTGTTGATTGATCGGATGAAGGCCGTGGATGAGCTTGGCGCCGCCTGTGGTAGGATTCATCCGGTGGGCCGGGGTCCTATGGTGTGGTATCAGCGCTTTGAGTACGCTATTGGCCATTGGCTGCAGAAAGCCACGGAGCACGTGATCGGCTGCGTGCTGTGCAGTCCTGGATGCTTCAGCCTGTTCCGGGCCAGCGCCCTCATGGAGAACAGCGTGATGAAGCGCTATACGATGGTCAGCTCGGAGGCCATGAAGATGGTACAGTACGATCAGGGCGAGGATCGCTGGCTCTGCACCCTGATTCTGAAGGCTGGTTCGCGGGTGGAGTACTGTGCCGCCTCCGATGCCTACACGCATGCGCCGGAGAGCTTCAACGAGTTTTACAACCAGCGTCGTCGCTGGGTACCCTCCACCATAGCCAACATCTTTGATATCCTGGCCGACGCGGAGACGGTGGTTAAGAAGAACAACTCTATATCGACGATGTATATTTGGTACCAAGCCATGCTCATGATCGGCACTGTGCTGGGTCCAGGCACCATCTTCCTTATGATGGTGGGCGCCCTAGTGGCCGTTTTCACCATTGACATCTGGACAGCTTTTTTGTGGAACTTCTTTCCCATCCTATTCTTCATTCTGGCTTGCGTCTACCTAAAGCAAAAGTTCCAGCTGCTGATAGCCTTTGTGGTCAGCTCGCTGTACTGCCTGGTCATGATGGCGGTCCTCATTGGCATCATTGTGCAGATGCTGGAGGATGGACCGCTGGCGCCTGCCTCGCTCTTCTTTCTTCTTGTGGCTGTGCAGATAACCATAGCAGGTGAGCATTGGGTTATGACATGGTAGTACCTTCTTAAAGCTGAGTTTACTTTCCATTTCATTGCAGGCTTCATGCACCCGCAGGAATTCTGGGCCCTGCTGTGTGGCGTCATCTACTACATTACCATTCCCTCGATGTACATGCTACTCATGATCTTCTCGGTCTTCAACATGAACGATGTATCCTGGGGCACTCGAGAGGCGCCCGTGCTCAAGGATGACGACAAGGAAGAGCCTGGCGAGACGGAGCACCAACTGCCTGGGTGGCTCAACGACCCCCTATTGATAGACTCGGAGCTCGGTGAGATCCCATTAGCGGAGCAGCGCTTCTGGAAGGATATGATCAAGCAGTACCTAAAGCCCTTGGAGCTGAGCCGCGAGCAGAAGCAGGCAATGGCCGATGGACTGAAGGAGCTGCGCAACATGATTGCCTTTGCCTTTGTGATGGTAAATGCCATCTTTGTGCTGATTGTATTCCTGCTGCAGCTGAAGAAAGAGTTCCTGCACCTGAAGTGGCCTATCGATCCCACGGACTTTGTGTCCTTTGATCGGGACAACCTGACTGTGGGCATTTACCGGCAGTACAAGGAGCTAGACCCCATCGGCCTGTGCTTTGTGATCTTTTTTGGCCTGATCCTGATCATTCAGTTTATTGCTATGTTCTTCCACCGCTTCGCCACCATGTGCCAGCTGCTGGCCACCACGCGGGTCGACTGGTTCCGCTCTGGCGGTCAGTTCACCGATGAGGATGCCGCCCATGAGCTAAAGGGCAGTGCGGTGAACATTGCGCGAAAGCTGCAGCGCCCAAAGAGGCTGTTTGATGAGGACGAGGAGGAGCACCACTACGACGAGCTGATGCTAGAGGCCTCGAGATCCGGCTCTGGGGAGCATCGAGAGAGCATGGTGCGCCGGCAGACGATCTTCCGGCTGCACGAGACCAGGAACAAGCAGCACAGCGACTACAGCAACTTGGTGTTCAACTTTGAGCGGCGATTCTTTGGCGATGACGATCTGAACCTCCAGAACCTGGCCCTGAATCGCAAGTCCGTAAAGCTATTCCAAAAGCGCAGATCCGAGGCCAAGGTCAATGCGGCCAGTACGCCCGGCGGCACACCCACTCCCAAGGCCGGCAAGCGACCGCCTTTGGTTCCCAAGAATGTGAGCTTCAGTGGCATGAACAGGAACAGCAATCAGATCTATGATAATGGCGGCTACGAGCACACCGAGTTCTAGGAGGAATCTAGAACTAGCAAGGGCCTCAAGTATTAACCAGAGAATCTTCTAAACTTAATATAAAACTTATGTAAAGGAGCTTAGATTTGGAGTTTATTGGACTTATATTTTATTTTTAAATAATATATACTCTTGATTACATATTTAAACCTTCATGGTTCCTTAATTTCCATGCTCAAAGTAAATACTTCTACTTAAGACACCTTAATTACTATTTTTAAATATCTAAATCCTTTCATAATACCCCCTTATGTATCCACAATATCTTTATGCGTTTTTATAATCGAATCCCCCAGGGCCCTGTCTTGGTGGCATAAAAAATATAATTAATTGCATTTAACTCAAGTGGCAGAGGCAGCCAAGTTTACTTCCCTTCTAACTGAAGACATCTCATTAGCATAATTACCAGATGCAGTGGGTGGCGGTAAGTAGTGGGTGGGAGTTGGGAGGGATGTGGGTGGTAGAGATACTTCATTCATCAATGTCGGGGCAGCGCTTAGAGTTAAGTGCTGCAGCTCGTGGTAGCGATGCGCTTTTTCCTCGCTCCTCTTCGTTACAAAATGCAAATCAAAGTGTGATTAGCTTGGATTTGATGAAGTTTCTCCAGCAATGCACAAGTTTCCTTCGCCACGCCCATGCCTTCCGCCAGTTTCCCTTTTTCGAGGGCGTGGCAAGGTGTCGGCGTAAGTGTTTTGTAAGTGAATTTTTCACCGACCAGGCAAAAAGCGAGCCGAGTGACAGGCAAGGACAGGGCAGGACTTACTTTGGCAGCGTGCATACATTAAGGGGGAAGCCAGAGCAGGAGCTAGGACGAACTTCTGGCCGCAGGATGTGGATTGTCTTTGGTTTGTAAAGTGCCGAAGCAGGGGATTAAAAGGGACGAATGTAAGAACACGGCTAAGTAATGAATTCACCTGCTCAAAGGGAAGACTAAGGTGAGTCATATCGATTCAATGGGACACCAGCAGAGACCAGGAGTTATGGCACTTACTTTGCCTTTACCCAAATTCTGGGCAATCGGAATTCCGGTATCAATTAATTGGCAAGCCCCTTTGAGGCCCCAGCTCGGAATGCAGTCAGCCAGATGAAACAATAACAAAAACAGGCGATTTATATAAATATATTTTCCAGCACAAAATGCAAACAATTTCAGACTTGAATGGGTTTTTGCCTTTGTGCAAGGAACAGTTCGAGCTTCAGTTCAAGGGAAAACTATGGAAAACAAAGGCAGCAGGCAGGGGGGGAAGAATTTATGACGATTTTCAATAGCTAGCAAGAAACCCGGGAAACTACAGTTGCTGGCCGGGTTACTTGACAACTATTTGTGCCAGTGACGGCCCACACGGCGTATGCGTATTCCGAACTTGCCACTTGCAACCTGCTGGTCACTGGTGCTGCGACTCGAACAAAACAAAGCACCGCGGAAACCGGGAATTCGGAAAACTGGGAAAAAGCCAGCCATAAACAAGAGCGCAATTCGATTGAAAAACTTGTGCCAGTTTTTTGGCACATAATTTTGCACTTATCTGACCCCGGACAGCCCCGCCCAGAGACCCAGAGACTAAAAACCAAACCAGACCCGACCAGGACACTAACCCCGCCTCCCCGGGGGCCTGTTGCCATTTGGTATTGTATTTTATGGCTTTTCTATGCATTGCAATGGCAATCCGAGGACAATGGCCAGGACGAGGCCCGGACAGGATGAGCAGCAGAGAGGGAATGTTGTGGCAACAGCGCCACAAAAGTTACAACAGAACTTTTTAATGTCATTTAATTATGAAAATAATTCAATGTACGGGATGCGCTGAAGCATTTTTGAGCTAAAAGTTTCCACTCTACAGGTCATTTGGCAGTTGTTGCCGCTACTCCTGTTGCTGCAGCTGCTTTGTAAAAATAATTAAATGAAAGGCTGCAGGATATTCGAGAGGACAATATGCACTGATTATGCGCCCAACGAGGGTACTCGAGGGGGCAGGGACTCCACCCCATTGAAATAAACAAGTTGGCATTTTCAGCAGTTAATTAATATTTGCAACTGGCTGTTGTTTGAGTATTTTTTCAGTGCTTCAAAGTCGGCTGAGTGGCAGTGATATTTAACGGGTAATTCACTGTGCAAAATATTGAATTGTGCTTCGGGTTCAAGTGGCTAGAGGAGGGCCATCAGTGTTTGATTGCATAATCAAGGGGTTACACCGACCTGATATCCATAATGATTGGTTTCAATTAAATTATATTAAAGGTTTTAAAGATAAAAACCATTATTATTCCTAGATAAATACTTTTAATAGCAGAATTTTAATTCTTAATTCATTAACTCTTTGCAAGAGATACCCTGTAACTGCTCGCTACCCCTGGTTGATTGCTCCGCTGGCCTAGCAAACACCGAACTAGAGAGCCAGATAAGCTCTTCTTCCCGTTGCTTGCCCCACTTGATAAGGCACCGCTCCATACTCCCTAGCCGGTCAAATGTTTGGCGCAATCTGAGCTGCACAGCGCCTACGAGCTGCCCGGATTGATAAGGCTTTCGGAGAGAGAGTCGAATTTTAATCGCAATCGCAATGAGCACTTACAATTACACATGTTATCATCGCGACCAGCGACCAGGGACCACCGACCACTGACAGTCCACTGGTTTGCCTCAGTATAACTTGTCGGGCTTCGCGGTGCGGTTCCCTTCGAGTTCCGTGATTCGCAGTTTATCCCTAGTAACCTATTCCCTCCGTTTTCAACCGATCCTTAAAGAAGATGCTGCGCAACAGCTTACATTTGGCGCAGAGCCTGCGCACCGGCTTCTCCAGCAACGCCTGGCGAGCGGTCAGCTCCCATGGACCCCGGCAGCCAGTGAGTGGAGTGTACCGTCGGTCTTATATAACCAGTTAATAAGTGATCTGGTTGTAGGGTATATTTAATGACCTAGCATAATGCCTAATACAGCGCCATTAGTGGAAAAGTTCTTGGATGCAAAGTCCGCCTTGGCGGAGCGCCAGTGCAAACAGACCTTTGCTTCGGTGATCAAACGTTATCAGTTCTTTGTGTTCAGGTCAGGAGAATCAATTGAGCGGTGATTGAACTGGTTTCAAACTGGTTTAGAGTGGAGAGACAAAGGTGTAGGAGTTGCGAATATCTAGATATATTGTATCTGATGAATATATAAATATTTTAAAAGGAACTAGGTCAAACTTACAACAGAGACTTCTTACAGATGTGCTTGCCAGGCAATTGTTATAGAAAAAATTATAAATAAATACTTATTTAAATATTTGTCAATGTCCAAATATATACATACAAACATATTCACAAAGGAATATATTCAAAGTGCTTTTAAGAAATCGACAGTCTATTGACCGATAAGCGGCGTTTCATGCTGATTTCAGCGAAGGGGAAAATTATAGCACCCATGAGGAGCCATGAAGTTGGGGCGTGAAGAGCTATTGTCTCGGGGTTTTGGGGTCTCCTGACACCGTGACATGCTGATACCATAGCCCAGAGACCGATGAGCCACCAAGTAGGGATCCTTTAGTCTAGTGCTTTGTTTTGATTGCGCAACCTCCTCGAACAGCTGCCGAAGCTTAAAAATTTCCCCTAACCCTCGGGCCTAATCAGAGCCAATCGAGGCAGCCAAAACACTATCGTTTGGTATCGTTAGTACGGGCCCGCATAAAGATTTCCATTTATTTTCTTTATGGACGGAAAAGGGTTTCGGTTCGGCCATAAACGGGGCCAAATGGGCCATCAAAAACGGGCTCCGGCTAATTGAATGGGCATCGATCGAAGGACTCTCGGCCGGGGCTGTAAATCATTTACAGTCTGGGTTTGATTTCAACTAACATGCAAACGTCCCACCTCCTACCTCCCACCGACAAGCTGATAAAATGTTGTCACAGCATGACGGCTGCCTGCAGAACTTCTGGGTCAGGCAAGTGCAGGGAACGTGTTTAAATAAATTCTAAAAGTGTAAATATTGTATTTCCCCGAAAGGAGGGGAGGGAGACGGCATTACAATAAACTTAAAACCCCTTTAAATATGCAGCAACATTTGTGGGGCCCGGACAAGGACTCGTTTTTTGCATTTGCATATGTCCGACATCGGGCCCAGCCTTTGACACTCAAAACGATTTGCCTAGGTCAGGGTCGTTGGGGTGCCCTTCAACCCATTACCCCAGGCAGGCATGGCCAGGCAACCCCTTTTCCCACGCGGCGCCGTCTCCCATTGACTCACTTCATTTTGACACGTGTTGGCAGTTATGGCGCCTTCGGTCTCGGTCTCGACGCTCGACTCTCTTTTCGAGCTGTGCGTGTGCGAGGCACATCATAAAAAAATACAAAAAATGTACAACAAAACAAGTGGCAGGGCAGCAATTATAACTCTCGACTAGGAGATACCTGGTACTAGATGAAGGAGTTTTTTTATTATATTCTCTTTGGATTTATCTGTCTCTTTAAAGATCTCCTAGATAAGTAAGCCAATAGGTTTAATATCTCCAAGGTTCTTCTACTTCTTCTTAAACTTATATACCCATTCCCCTTGGTACTAGTAGGTATTAATACAAAAAAAGAGCCTCTGGGTCGGTGGCATAGAAGGCATCCCAGGGAATTTAGCTTCAAACAGAGCACAAAAGGCGGCCGGTGACACTGTGTCACGGGTGCCCCCACGAACATCACACCCGAACATCTGTCGAGAGAACTCCATTGAGATTGGGCTGGACTGGAGATAACAGAGTGGAACCTGGCTTCTCCATGCTCGGCGGCTGTCAGTAGAGGGAGCATTAATTGCTCAGCAATTACCCGGCATTTCAACGCGTTTGACAGGCCCCAGACATTGGGCAGACATTAGAGGCTGTTATCGGAGCGAGAGCGATGTCTATCTAGCGTTCGATTAGGAAACAATCGAAGCTATAGCTTAGTCCTGACCTTCGGCTAATTGCATTATGGGATCACGCATACGCCGTGATGGCCAAATATAGTTTTACAGCGCAGACACAGCCGTAAAACACAGGCTTCTTTGTGATAACAAGCGTCGGGCGGCCAAACAATTAAATAAAGTAAACAAACAGGGCATTTCTGATTGCCGACGAGGGTTCTCGCTTTGAGTTGCACTTGACACTCGACATCGCAACGAAATCAAAATATTTACGCCTCAATTCGAAATGATTTTTTTTCGAAATTATTGACACGACAAATGGGGCGAGTTATATGAATAATCAAAGCCGCTGATTTGATGTTATTGCGCCTGAAAGCCAATCAAATCCGCGGCCCATTGGGGGAATGTAGCCTGGCAGAGCACAAAAAATGAGGAGAAAAAGCAAAGGAAAGGCAAATAAAAATACCTTTTGATTGATGGACGA